TTTGTCTCAGGATTAGATTTTTTTCTTTTAGTTGAGTGTAGAGCACGTGTGCTTGTGGAGCGTGGGGGTAGGAGAGGGTTGGTGGAGGGACCACACTGCAGTCCCTTCTCCTCCATCCTCCTTTGGGTCCTGGATGCACCCACACCCAGCGTGTTTGTCAAATGACCAGGTCTGGGATTTGAACTGCACAGTTAGCCACGTGTGGTCCCACTGATAGAACCACCATGCTACTGGCTGTCGCCAGGGCTGGATATGTAATCAGACTTGTTTCAGTTGGCTACATAAAATCATACAGGGGTTTCTGAAGTCTACCTGGCCTGTACTGAATTTGAATTTTAGGTATCTTTAAAGTGTGGGGGGTTTAAATATCCAGATGCCGTGTTCTTGGCCTGTGTCAAGAGGTTAAGTTCTTTCAGCTCCAGCCTAATGGGGTTCTTTGGGCCTTTAGTGGAGTAGACTAACACAACTGAAGACTTGAAATGATTATTTTTCATATACGAATCAGACCGACCTGGAAATGAATCATGTTAAAATTTGTACGCACGGCTTAATGCCATTCTTTTTATTCTTCTGTCTCCGACAGTTCTTGTTAAAGGATCGCTGTTACTTTCCCATATCTTTGGAAAATGTATTCTAAAATGGATTTAAAAGTGCATTTTAATAGTCGGAAAAAGCCTCATTCCCATGGCGGGGGAAATGTGCTTCGCATTATATACCACACAGAGCCATGCAGAGCAGAAATGTAACACGGAAGTTAGAGTCACCTCTATAGAACCGGCTAGTAAAAGTGGGCTTCTAATAAGAATTCCCATAGATTATATATATCAGTTAAAAATATTAGAATTTTCTCAAATGACCTCTTTCTCTCTGGAAGGAACTAGCGCTGAGGGAATTGGGAACTAGTGTGCGCTTGCTGAGGCTCCCCATCGCGCGCCGGCGTGTGACAGAGGGAGCCGATGTATCGTTCTGCCTTGGTTTCTGATCCTGCGTAAAACACCGCCAGCTGCTCACTGGGACTACATGGACATAAAAGGAAATTCTGTCTTTAAAATGACTATTTCTTCTGGGGACTATGAAATAACTTTATAAATGTTACTTCGAGATTGGCACAAAAAGGTTTAAATTTGTTTCCTCCCAACTATTAGATCTGATAGAAAATGTGGGAAATCTGCCTGCCGTGTGAACTCGTAAAGGGGGTTCATCCAAGCCTGTCGCAATCGGGAACAGACGCCTAGGTGGCACCTGGACACCGCTGCTGAGGAGTGTCAGAATGCACGGCTGCCCCGTTCCCAGACCTGGGTGTGTTCTGGGCTTGGCTGCCTTGCTCTGGGATAGGCTTTGAGAGGTGCAGACCGACAGCTGATGCCCAGTGCTCAGAGAGGGCCCGGGCACGCGCTGCGGGGAAAGAAGCTCCCACGGAAAAGGTTTCCGATCGGGCTTTGCTAGTAAGGCTGCCATCGCAGCAGGTAACGAAAGAGAAACACGGGGTGTGACACGGAAGGCGTGAAGCCTGTCACCCGGACACGGCCCTCGTGGCCTTGTCAGCTTTGCTTCTCTGGTGAAACCTTTCCTGGTTAACCTCTTTTTCTTGAGGTAATGATTTTTGGAATTGTTCAAGAGATCTTCGCATAGAGAAGGTAAACAGAGAACTGGTCCTAAACTTCCTGGTCTAATTCTGTATAAAGATTTCACGGAATCTGGCCCACTGGGGTACTGAACTGAATTCACTGGCTTTGGCTCCGAGTGAATTAAGAGTTGGGGTCAAGGACACTCCCCCTTCCTCTCCCTCTCTTACACACGCTCACACACGCACACGTCCTACTGGGTGGTATTTGTCTTACATCTGTGAAGCCTTATAGAATCCTAGACTTAGAGTTAGAAGGGCACTTCGAAACCAGATTCATTTTTTAAATGTTAAAATGAACTTTAGTAACTTGCCCAAGTCGCAGAGGTAGGTGGCCGCGGTCCAGTACCTCAGTCTCTGGACTGCTGCTTCTCAGTGATTGAGGAGTGTTCGGCCAACAGGACGTGACCATCTGGAATTGTACCTATCAGACGGTCACCTGGATTGGCAGCTCACCGCTCAGCGTGCGGCTATCCTAGGGAGATGCACGCCCTGGTTGCTGAGGCTTCGTGGGAGTGAGTTGGCTACGACTGCCTTCCAGCTAGTGCTGACTGAAATGAGGGTGCAGTGATGGCGGGGACATAATTGTGGGTACCTGCTTACAAGGAGGTGGCAGGCTGCAGTAGGCGGGTAGAGTGGGGAGAAACTCGCAGTGTGTTTGAAGAGCAGGGACACGAGAAAAGGACTTGGGAAGGCACTGAAAGCAAGCTTCGGTAGTTTGTTTTTTTTTTTTTTTTTAGAGATTTTTTGCTATTGTGCACATGTGCTTGCTGGAGAGACAGAGAGAGAGAGAGCGAGAGAGAGAGAGAGGAGAGAGAGAGAGAAAGCGAAAAAATACCCCCTGGGAGGATGGCCCTGCTGCAATCCCTTCTCCTCCATTCTCCTCTCGTGATTTCCAGCACGCACGCACATGTGCCCCGCGTGAGTTTAAGCCGCCAGGCCTGGGAATTGAACTGTGGTCGATGTAACCATTATGCCATCTTCTGGTCCCAAGTACTTGCAGTTTTTCTGAGGTTAAACAGTGGTGCTGGCATCATGTGTGAGGGGGAACGCGCTCATTTTATATCCCAAGTACTTGCAGTTTTTCCGAGGTTAGACAGTGCTGCTGGCATCACGTGTGAGGGGGAACGCGCTCATTTTATGTCGCTGAAGCCGAGGAGGAGAAGATTGCTTCGGCTCTGTGGTCAGGGTTTATAAGCCTCCTCCTCCCCCAGCCCCCACCCCTGCATTCTTACTGAGCTTTCCACATGTTTTAAAGCTGTTAAGCCAGAGCTAAAAATAGTTTTGTACTTCAATGCATTAAAAATTAAATACTCCTACTCAGGATACCAAATGAAAATAGGATCTTAACAGAAGCCTTGCTATTTATCCTCAGCAATGATCTCTTATTTTAGGGCACCACATCGAGAATGACGGGAATGCCGGCTCTGTTTTGTATGTTCACACAACACCGGGAACCATCTGCTGCAGTGGAATGAGCAAAGTCAAATGTGTGTGCTTTAGGGACCCATCTGAAACATCATTAGCTAAAGCCAGATTGACAACGCACTTGGTGCAATTCATGGACCCTGTCATGGGAGGTCTGTTTAGGGCAGCTCCATTCATGTGCGTCTTGATTTAGTTCTACAAAGCTCATGTACATTTTAATCCTGCTGTTATGAGATAAAATTTATTAAAATAACCTGGTCATTAGACATTCTTAGTGGTCTGCAAATTTGTCAATGAAGGCTGCACATTTTACAGGACAAACTTGATCTGCAATTCCATACTCTCTTACAGCTCACTACAGGGTTTACTGAGTACTAGATGGAGATGCCAAAAACAAAACAAAGAATTCCTCAATTAAACGTTTTCCTTTCCTGGATGCTTATTTCTAACATTTAGCACTTAGCTCAAAGTGCGGTAGAGTCTTTTCATTCTTCTTTCGTGCTGAAAAGGACTTGGTCCCGATGAAGCTCTGGCTAGTCACGCAACGAGTGACAGATGAAGTAAACGTGGCCCAAATGGGGGGAGCGAGAGGGCCGGATGAGGGTGCTGCTGGGTGTGAGGACAGGGATGCATGAGCGCCCGGACCTACACGCAGCTCCGCATCACGTGTATCACCCGCCTCCAGGCAGCTTATGGTCTCCCTGAGAGGCAGCAGGAAGGGAAGTTATTGTCCTTTTGTGCATGATGACATCGAGGTACGGAAAAGCTAACCTTCAGGGAGCCAGGACTTGCCTGCAGCTGGCGGAAGAGAATCTGGTCTTTTAACTACTGAGAATCTGGTCTTTTAACTACTAAGTAGAGCATACTTTAAAATAAATTTTATTCCTGCTATTTTCATTGGCTATAATTTCGAGGTGCCGCATATTACCAAACCGATTATTCGTCACAAGTTGCCAGTTTTCCAGCGGAACAGTTGTGCACTTTTGATGGGCTTCTTTATCGACATGGAATATAAATAATTATACTAGTGTATGGTTTAATGATCATAGCTCCTGCAAATGTTAATTGTGCCTGTTCACATTCTAGGTGGTCCTTTCTATCATCGTTAGTAAGTTTATCTGAGTCCGCAGCATCTGTGTGCATTGCTGGCGCCATATGGCTGGAGCGGTAGTGGAGTGGACGGAAGTCCAGATTAATATCCCCGGGGTCACAGCGAGTTAAATGAAACATCTTGAGGTCATCATATCTCAGTGTGGGGTTTTTATTTACTTACCCATGATACAAGCTTTTGAGACTTGACTACCATTTACATGAAAGTTGATACCAGTAAAGATGATCAGAAAAATCAACAAACTAATCTCAGTGGTAATAAGGCACAACCTGAAAATGTGATGGATTTGTAGTTTTTCAGAGTGTGGAGGGATAAGATCCCTCCGCCCCCACTAGTAACAATAAAGAGTTGGTGATTTAACCTTGTAGC